AGGTTCAAAAGGTTTTGAAGGACTTCTTGAAAGTCCTGTGTGTTGCATAAAAAATTGGCTTCAGGAGAAAATTGGGAGGGATATATTTAATGGCAGGATAAATAATCCCAAGTTTTATTTATCGACCGGAAATTTCTTTTTTTCACGCAACAAAGTACGCTATTCACAAATAGATGTCGTCATAGAAAACAATGAAAATTAGATAGATGATAATGTGATATGTTATTGTCACGCATTTATTGTTTTTTGTTTCCTCCCAGGGATGAAGGTTTTCAGTCATTTTTTGTCAATGACACGCTGATTTGGGACAAGAAAGCTGCGTCATGCTGCCATTGGAATTTGATTTTTGGCTTCTTCGTACTCCCGGCGAATGATTTGAAAGAAATTCTTACAAACTCTGAATCATCCCGCAAAACTAATTAAATTCCTAGTCTCATTGATTGTTCCTGGATAACTTTAATTTTAAGATGCACGAAACTAGTACAATCCTCATGAAAAAGCAAATGATGAATTATTTTTAACCAGACATTTGTTAAAATGCACATGCCATAGCCATATACTAACCCTAATTTAACGTCATCATGAAGATAACCGTGCTGAAAAAGCTTTTAGTGTTTTAATGCGATAGTTTCAGCCTTTCTGGTGACATTTCCAAATAAAAATCAGCCCTTTTTGTAGCTTACCATGTAAAAAAAAAACTTGAGATATGTAAATATTCATTCACATTCTTCCGTGGGGCAAATTAAACTGGCTACAGAACCACGGCAAAAACCCAAAAATTATTATTTTCTTCTATCATTATTGCTTTACAAAATTTGAAATAGTTTTTCCTAAATTTCAAAATGAAACATTTATCTGCAACGAATTTCTTTATAACGCATTAATGATCACAACGATTTTTTGTCCTATCCAATAGCCGCAATCGTATTCAATTTTTTTCAACGAATTTTCGTTTATAACGAAAAGGTCTTAAACGCTTCGTTGCAACGAGATTCTACCGCGTGTAATGGATCAAGAGTAGGGAAAGAGTAACTGAATTTTTTTCTTCAATTCCTCGTCAAAGCAAAATTTAAATAAAATTTCTGAATCATTTCCAGAGTCGAATGCTTTTCTGGGATGCGTTTCATCCTAGGGGGTGGAGATCACTCAGAAAATCCGTTTAAAAATAATCCGAGGGAAAAAGAGAGACCGTATTGAGTATTCACTGCGCGTTCTCATTTGAATACATTTTGAAATCGAAAACTTAATACCCGGCATATTTTTTGGTGGGGAGTGGCATTGACCTTTCTCGGGATTAATACTTAGACAGCTCAGAAAGCTCTTTTCCCCTCGCGGATGCACGAACACCGAGGCATCGCATTTTCAAGACCTCGTTCAAAATCTTTAAAGGATTTCAGCATACTTCATTTCTGAGCAAATGATCCCCCGAGGATTAAATGTGCTCATATTTCTTTCTGCGGAAAAGAAAAATTATTCAGCAGACCTACTGTGATACTTCAGAAAGTGTAGAGTATTTTTTTAATCGCCAGCTTTAGCTTCCGTGAAAAACTATTTGCAATAAGCGGCATTTTAATGGCCGTGCATCATCAGAGGAAACTCTAATAAAGTATTATAGTTGTTTCTTGACGAATTTTTGAATATATCTCTGAAATGTACTGTATTTCATGCATCAGGTAGCGATGGGAAATGCATAAAAAAAAATAAAGCAGAAAATGGCGAGTCCCTGGAAAACTCATTTATATTGAAATGAAGCCAACTACCATCTTCAATTTCGATTCTAATTAGAACTCCGAAAATTTAACGGTGCATTCTGACGTTTTTTTTTTACAAAAAGTTCGTCAATTTTTAAACTTTTAAATGGTACCTTTTCTTTTTTTTTTAAAAGGAGACAACTTCAGGGGCATTCCAAGTAAATTTCAGTTTTTTCTTCTTCTCCAAATCCAGGTTCTTTTGCTGTTTACAAATGGGGAGTTTTATGTGGGGGCCTGGGGGGTATTAAGAATATTCAGCTGGAAACTGTTTGGGCCATCAACTTCAGTGGTTCAGTTTTTTGTTTTTTTTCAGGAAATTTTTTGCTTTCCTATTTTCCGGTACTTGAAATGCATTAAACTTTTCAGGAGCATCTGAGGATACAACTTTTGTGGTTCTCTTTTTTTAAAGCCTTCACATTTTTATTCATTTTTTGAACGCGAAATAGACGTAGGTTCGGGTCAATAAAAGTACATAAATATTGTACAGCACTGTAAAATCGAAATAAAATTAATAGATTATTACTTATAGACTCAGGAAAATTCAATAACAGCATTATACCTTATAAATAACTGGGAAGACAATTTCCTCGACGTCACTGATACCGGAAGTTTTCTCACACGGGCTGAAGCCCTACCCGAAACGTACTGTATTTACTCAAGTACCCCCCGCACCTTTTTTACAGAATGTAAGGCAGAAAAAAAGGGTGCGTGTGGTAACCCGGGATAACTTTTTTGAGGAAAACTTTTTGAAAACCCTGCATGTTGTATGCGGGTACATTTTAACAAAAAAAAATTAGGAGGAAATGCACGGCGCCAAGTCTGGTTGTTCATGGGAAACATTGGTTGAAGGGATAGCAATTTTAGGAATTAGTTGGAGATGCAACAGGAAATGAAGGAAGCAGAAGAAATTCCTATAATTGACGGAGCTGTGGACAGTAAAAAGCAGGAAAAATGAAATGTCAATAGGGGAAAATGGATCAACTTGAAAAATTCAAATACCCACTCTATGGGTCGTTTTTATACCAAGAACCCTAGTGCAACAGGCTGAGGCCTGATATACGCAGTACAGTATGAGTTGCAGTCGCCCCTGGCTCAGCAGACCCCTTCGCCTCATATAGGGCCGCCGCGTTCCGCATTAATATCCCTATCCCACCATCACCCCTGCTATTTATTTACGTCTCCCCTATATGGGTCCCATCCGAGGGATGGAAGCGCAGAAACCTTAGGACTGATGCAAGGGCTGCAAAAGACTGCTCATCCTGCAAAAAAAAAAACTTGGGATTTTAAACCCACGGTTTAATTTTTTTTTAAAGAATTAGGTTATGAGTGTATAGAGATTATTTGATAAATGTCAGGAAAATATGAAAAGAATTAAAACGTGCAGAATTCCAACTTCATCAAATGAGCAAAACTTTCTGTGAAGACAGAAATGGTGTTCAAAAAATACACAATACTGTATGACATATTTCTTTTAAACTCTTCAGCTCCATTTTAGAATGCATGCTTTCTTCCAAATGAACAGTATGTTAAAAAAGTGTTCCTCTATTCAAAATAAAAGATATATACTGTATACATGAATAAGTTGATTTAGAAGGAAGCGTAGTATTTCTGCCTCGTGTAATATTGCATTATTTTATTTTTCAAGATGAAGTATACTTTCGTTAAAAGAAAGGTTTAATGAATGGGGAAAGTACTACTTATTTAAAAAGTTTTCACTTAATTTAATCAGAAATAATTACTAATTATCATAGGTCTTGAATTATCTGTTTTGGAAGCACTTCAAAGTATTTATTTTGCATTCTCCACAAATTTCAGGTAAAAATGTTCAGAAAACCCGAAATCTCAATTTTTTGATTAGGTCCCTGGGTGTTTGTTGTAACAAAATTTCACTGCAACTTATGCTAAGTGTTGTACTCTCATCCCTGAAAAATTTCAGAAATTTTTAGAGATCTGACCAAGATAGAATCTCTACAAAAGTAATTACAGAATCGTAGACCTCCCATGGGTTTTTTGAAGTAAGTTCTAATGTGGTTGTTTTTGAATACTTTATTGGGAGTGTGTTCGAGCCCCCTCTCTCAAGCCTTTCAGTTCCTAAGGGTCCAATCCACAAGAAGGGAGATCCATTCCATGTTTTGCCCTAGCACCCGAGAGTCGATCCACTTCCCACCCTTCGCCCACGCTGCTAGCGCAGGCGCTTAATCAACTCCTGCCTATAGAGTGTAGTGGGGGGCATTCAATTTCGGACTTGCGTGAATCACAATTCACTACCGACCAAATGAGAAACAGCTCTTGACCAGTTCTCACAAATCGGGTCGACTGATCCGACGAATGTGATCGCGGAAAAATCGAAGCGCAATACCCCGATTATCGAGGACACGAATTGCTCTGTACTCCACTCACCATTGTTGCACGCGTTTCAGCGGGTTAGTAACGGAAACAAGGAAGAAAAGGCAAATATCACAACTCATGATTGCGATAACTGCAACCGTCTTTTTTCACCGCAACAAGGATATTCAATTTCGGACTTGCGTGAATCACAATTCACTACCGACCAAATGAGAAACAGCTCTTGACCAGTTCTCACAAATCGGGTCGACTGATCCGACGAATGTGATCGCGGAAAAATCGAAGCGCAATATCCCGAAACGTTTTCGAAAGCCCGGTGCTGAAGTTAAAAACGGCATTTACTTCGAATGCCGAGTCGAGAAATCGCGGCGAACTACGTGAATTTATAAGTACAGTATCTTCACGGTTAGGCGCGAAAAATGTGTTCCGAACGTACCAAAACGACGACGAGTACGAAACTGTACTGCTGGAAGAAGTCTCAGGAAAATGTGTTGAAAAGATAGCTATTGCACAGTATACTTCCAACATGCCAAAAAATTACGCAATTTGGCATGAAAATGCGCCTCGCGCTACACCTCAATTTAATAGGGGCCTGTTCTCTAATTTTCAGGAAATGCACTGTTCCCGGGAGCGGTCCATGATACCGACACCCATTGGATCAGATGTGCGATAGATTACAAAGGAATAACATTTACACAGTACGTAACCTTCAGTTCCATTTGGCGAATTAAATGAATTTGTGTGTCACTCCTGCATTTAACGTGCGAATATTCCACAAGGAGTCGACACGCGATAAAAGCGATTGGTATCGTTTATCGAGGACACGAATTACTCTGTACTCCACTCACCATTGTTGCACGCGTTTCAGCGGGTTAGTAACGGAAACAAGGAAGAAAAGGCAAATATCACAACTCATGATTGCGATAACTGCAACCGTCTTTTTTCACCGCAACAAGGAAATGAATACACTAATAACCACGTTCATCCGCGTTTCTTGGGACGTACGTAAACGCGCTTCAGTCGAGTTTGGGCTCGCGACACTTCACCCACCGCAGTCTTCACTTCATTGAACACTTCTGCTTGGTCTTCTTCGTGAATGCTCTTACGATACGCTCGCATGAGATCGTATTTGTTGTACGGGGAAATGGGGGACTCGGCATTGATACGCTTCGCATTCGCGAGACGTTTCTTCTGCCAGTGCGCCAACGTGTCCATGTAGGTCTCAGGAACGACGCCTTTGAGATTCCACAGATGCCACTTGGCACTCCATGGTTGTGGTTTCAACGGTACCTGAAATTGAAATGAAGAAATTTACTTCGTTGCTCGCGATTCAAGATTACTATTGTCGGCTTAGTTAAAAAAAATTAAAGCACAAAAAAACGGAGAACTTCCTGTGAAGAAGTGACACCGATCGCGGCTCCAGCTTTTCAATGAAAACTTTTCATAGTTCAACGAAAAAGTAGCGTCGAGAAAGAAAAACAATGGTTACATGTTGAAAATCTACATGACAAACGTTTTTTACACTTTTGAAAACGCTTCAAAACGTAATTCAAAATCGGCGATGCACGAGTCTCAATCAAGCCGTAAAAATGACCAAAACTTCTGTTCACGAAGGACAAAGCTTCGGTTAATGGGAAGATAAAACCTTGATTTTCCCCACATTTACTACTCCTCTTTTTCGTGTGCCGTTTTTCTCCCTTTTTCCGGCTCATGGATATTTCACGAATAAAAATAATAGACAGGGCATTTTTGGTTGAATTTCTGCTTCAAAAATTTGCAATCTAACATTGCTACCCTGCGTGTGCTGTAATAAATACCGTATTATCTGAATGATGTAGTACGTCATAAAAAAGTACATATCAGCTAAATTTTAAGCAACAATTTGCATTAAAAGATTCAAAAATGATATTTTTGAATATTTTATTCAAAATACTAAAGGAATTTCCATCGATGTGCTATTGTCTGCAAGCTCGTGTGCCCAAGAACATTGATGCAAACAATTCCATACTCATCGTTATGACCAAAATCTCATTAGATCAAAGCGCGAAGGGACAAAGGATTCAACCTAAAACAAATTTTTGGTTTGACTCGTGTACGCTAAAAGAGGATCACAGAAATATTACAGCCCCTTTTAAACATTTTTTCTACCCAACTTTGTAGAAGTCCAATGTCCAAATCAGATTTGGGACACGGTAAAGAAACGTACTTTTAGTTCGTTCACAGGAACCGGTGCGCCATCCGGTAAATACTCTGGCTCCATGTCTTGCGGGAACGTGCTGAATTCGGAAGGGCAATCCCTCAGATATCGCAAGTTGTCATCGAGACGCTTTTCCAGACGTACCACTTCGATTTTTCGTATCGTCGGGTTGTACAAGTCATACCGCAGTTCAATACCTGGTTCACAGGGGTAAAAAAAATGAATATTCGAAATCTTATAGGATGAGAAAAACTCATGCACAGTACCTTGTGCCTCGATATAATTCCGAAGAACGAAATAAGCGCGTAATCCGCTTTCTCCTCGTTCAGTGCAGACACCCAGGAAGCGACTTGATTTCCCAGGTGCATGCGGATCTGACACTACGACAGCCATAATGGTGCCTGTAAGAAAGTTAGCGTCTTTAAAGATAAGCACACATTCGCCAGTTACATGCATTCCTTAAATTTCGTGGTACGATGACAGTATTCGGATGACAGGCAGGAATAAAATGCATGTCAGAAAACAAATCTTGAACACAGATCACGAGACGCAAGAACTTGACAATTTTTACCACGTCAGTAATTCAAGGTGACGACGAGCATCAAGTTCAACACATCATGTTAGCTGAAATAGTTCCGCCACGTGGGTTTAAGTCAAGAAATACAGTACAGCTAAAAATGCTTGAGTCGAACAGATCGGGAAACTGTTCAGAAAATTGCTTTGGTTTTAGCGCAGAGAGATTATTCTTGATAGTACTGTAAAATACTCCATACCAACGTAGAACTCGGGTATTTCAATGTGCTTCCGACGTTGAAGCATGTCGGCTCGTTCCAGTTTTTCCCTTAATTTGTTCCTCCAATCTAATCGAGGATTCGGGAGAAATTCNTTTTCCCTTAATTTGTTCCTCCAATCTAATCGAGGATTCGGGAGAAATTCAGGGAAAATTTGACGGTATTCCGCGGGCGGCAAGGCATCTTTTCCGTCAATTTTCTTCTCGGGCTGAGTCGAAGCTGAGAACGAACGAATGACGGGCGCCCGACATCCTAAACAAAATCGGGAAATTCAAGGTCATGGTAATGTATTACGTGTTAACAAATCAACTAACCTGCACGGGTCAGACGACTCAGTAGCCTTGGAACAAGTACTTCCACGAAGACCATCACAATGAATCAATATTTAAACATCACCAGCCTTACGACACACTCAACATTCTGCTTCGAAAAAATCAAACCCGAAGAAATTTAGCCTCAATAACCACATACTGGCTACTAAATGCCTTCAACAAAGAAACAGTAATCGAAAAATGTCCGCGACGAATATCACAACTAATTGATAACAGTGGAAGTACTTGTGGTTCTCCTCACACTGGTTAACCATTTCAACACTTTCTGACCCCCATATGAAAGCGCTTTCCTCGCTCCTGCTGTGCAGGCCCCTTTGACAGCCTGACCAGCACTCGATTTTTTCACAATTTCCGACATTCCTGAAAATGATCACATTCACACGTAATAAATATGGCTCGAATTCATGAAACATCCTTACTCCAAAGAAGGATATCTCGAGCATCGGGATCGTGAGCAGCAGCAAGAATGGCATCTTCACAATCTTCTATGGAGCCGCCCATCTTGCGCGATTTGTAAATTTCTGTTAGACCCTCGGAAACGTTACTCGGCAACAAGTTAAGATGATGGAATTTTGCTGCAGGAGTGATATCTTGCTCGAATATGGCCCTTCGGTTGCAAAATTCCAGCCAATCCTTCATGGTATCCAAGGTAGGGCCGTATAATTCTCGGAAGGCAGGCATTTGAGCTTCCACGATGTTTGATACTTTATTTTGGTCCTCACCAAATGTCATACGAACATCGCCGGAGTATGAAATGCCGGCTATTGTCTTGAAAAGCATTTCTTCACTAAATTCTGGTGGAAGAATTAACAAGGCCGCAAGTACTGCCGATCGAAGATTCTTCGATAAAGCTGATGCTACCCGATTGGAGAACTTCGTATTCAAATAATACACTGGCTTATGGAGTCGTCCCGCTACGTAGAGATCTTCCCATTCCAATAAGTCACA